ACCACCATCAGCCTCATAATGTGCCCGAGGAGCCTATGTTAGGACCTTCCATTGCATTTAAATCATTACATATCTCCAGTTCTTATTACCTATAAAAATATTATATTGCCCATTACCTAATCTGCTGCTGATGTTCTGTTTATTTGTTTGTCTTTTCCTATTGTGTTGTGCTCTGCTGCAGTGGCCACTCATTACTTAAAAGGGTATTTATATCCTGACTTGTAGCTCGGCGCTAAACACAGAAATTGCTTTTGCCTCATTTGGATGCAGCCAGTGTCGGAGTGCTTCGGAAGCAGCAAAGATAAGACGTCCACGCTTTTTGTTTTCTTATTTTTTTTACTCCGTTTTTATTATTATTATTACCCAGCAGCTTCATAGCATGGGAGATTGCTGAAAGGTATATTTGCTTCAGGGGGACATACACTTTACTGTTCTTCAAAAGGCACTCTGCTGTTTGACATTCATATGCCATTCTGTCAGTGAACGCACTCCTCTGATTTTTCCATCTTCACACTGACTCCGGAAACACACGCAGCCTTTGATCACTACAAAATGCCTTAAAAACTTAATTGGTTTCATTTTATGGAAGTAGAAGAAAAGCAAATTTTTTAAATGCCTTCTATAATAGGGTCAGAATGATATGGATAATGCAAGATTAATTACAATACTTAGTTTAAAAAAATCAGCACAATATGCTTGTGTTCAATATAGCGGAAACCCAAGCTGATCGCTGCTAAATAAGTATAGCTGTGGGGTCTGTGAAGACACTTAGCTGCTTCATTTACTTTTTTAGTGTGTTTTAATCAAGGTTGGCTGCCCATTGTGTCCTCCTAAACCGTGAGAGCTTGTTAATATGGTTTTATGATCTTAGTGATGCATCACATCACTTGACTCCACAGCATTCGCTTTTGCTTCGGTAAAAAGACGCAATATTTGGATGTTTTGTAATTGTCTGGATTTTTTTTTCCCTGGGTGGTCTGTAATCTTTCCACTGGTGTATTCTGTAAGTACTATAGATGAGATGAAGTTGAATTAAGGAAAAGTAAAGCTGCCTACCAAAAATGAACCTGGACTTTTGGCCATGCATGGCAATGTAACCGTTCCATTTAACTGCCATCCCTTGATTATACTCTTCTTCTGGTTGCCCCTCTGCTGCGTTGTATGTTGCTAGAGTAAGTTGAAAATTCAGGGTGCTTTTTAGGTATGTAGAAATCTTTTCCAGTTTTCCCATGATGCACCACTGGCCGTCAAAGCAGCAAATCACAAGGACTGAGTGCTGGCCTATGAAGATGGGGCAGATGTTCTTTAGCCCTTTTGTAAGTGGCAACCAGATCAATTGGGACCTAACACAGGGCTTTTTTCTCTTCACTGTGATGAACTTGCACTTATAAAATGGAAGGTGTTCACACTTGAAGCAGAACACCAACTAAAAATAACCAGATAAAAAAAAAAAAAAAAAAACGGCCCATTAAAAGATAAAGTATATGTAAACCCTCACCTTGTGAAACAACCTGTTCAGTTTAAAATAGGTTTTGCCTTTCATTTCTTTCTGTATACATATAAAAAAATGTTTTCCCATTTTTAGAAATGATCACATGCCTTTTTATTCTCAACTGCATAATGAGCTAGGGAAGGAGAAACCGCAACATTGATCTTTCCAGTGAATGGCTGTGCAGGGAGAAGGGGGGGGGGGCATGTGAACACAAGCCCTTTCATTGCATTAGCTACCAGCACAGCTAGCAAACTGACCACACTGTGCTCTCATACCTATTGTGGTCAGTTTTTTTGTGTTTTGTTTTTTTTTATTAGGAAAGCCAAGAGACTGACAGGAACACCAGGGATTTCACACAAAGGAAGCAATACAAAGAGAATAGGATACTTTCATACATGGTACATCAGGAATATGAAATGTTGGGTTTACATATTCTTCTTCTTTATCAGAACCAGCTTTTGCTGAAATGTTCACCTTTTGAGTCAGAACTTTACCCCACAGTACTTTTTTTCCTTTTCTTTTCTTGCCACTAGCTGTCCTCAGTCTGATGGTCTGCTTCATTCAACCTACTTCCCCTGTGTACTGTTACAGGTTGTCCTGAACCAACTTTAGCCAGTGACTGCATTGTAAAGGAAAAGCAGGACAATGACCAGCTCCTCTCTCCGTGGCTCTGCATTCTTTCTGTTGGCAAGCTTCTTGTCTGCACATGACCCAGTTTGCTCCTTGTGCTGCTTCTCCCTCTCCCAGTCTTGGCTCTACAGTATAGGGACTTCAAAAGGCTGATACCAGACCAAATTCAGGTACTTACACTGCTTGAAATAAAAAAATGATACATTTTAATGATCTAGTTATGAACACAGAGCTACAGGTGAAACTCGAAAAATTAGAATATCGTGCAAAAGTTAATTTATTTCAGTAATGCAACTTAAAAGGTGAAACTAATATATGAGAGAGAATCATTACATGCAAAGCAAGATAGTTCAAGCCGTGATTTGTCACAATTGTGATGATTATGGCTTACAGCTCATGAAACCCCAAATCCACAATTTCAGAAAATTAGAATATTGTGAAAAGGTGCAATATTCTAGGCTCAAAGTGTCGCACTCTAATCAGCTAATTAAGCCATAACACCTGCAAAGTGTTCCTGAGCCTTTAAATGGTCTCTCAGTCTGGTTCAGTAGGAATCACAATCATGGGAAAGACTGCTGACCTGACAGTTGTGCAGAAAACCCATTGACACCCTCCATAAGGAGGGAAAGCCTCAAAAGGTAATTGCAAAAGAAGTTGGATGTTCCCAATGTGCTGTATCAAAGCACATTAATAGAAAGTTGTGTGGAAGAAAAAGGCGCACAAGCAACAGGGATGACCGCAGCCTAGAGAGGATTGTCGGGAAAAGACCATTCAAAAGTGTTGGGGACTTTCACAAGGAGTGGACTGAGGCTGGAGTCAGTGCATCAAGAGCCACCACACACAGATGGATCCTGGACTTGGGCTTCAAATGTCGTATTCCTCTTGTCAAGCCGCTCCTAAACAACAAACAACGTCAGAAGCGCCTTACCTGGGCAGACCTGGTCTGTTGCTCAGTGGTCCCAAATCCTCTTTTCTGATCAGAGCAACTTTTGCATAAGAATGGAGAGGCACACACTGCAAGATGCTTGAAGTCCAGTGTGAAGTTTCCACAGTCTGTGTTGATTTGGGGAGCCATGTCATCTGCTGGTGTTGGTCCACTGTGCTTCATTAAGTCCAGGGTCAACGCAGCCGACTAGCAGGAGATTTTGCAGCACTTCATGCTTCCTTCCGCAGACAAGCTTTATGGGGATGCTGACTTCATTTTCCAGCAGGACTTGGCACCTGCCCGCACTGCCAAAAGCACCAAAACCTGGTTCAATGACCGTGGGATTACTGTGCTTGATTGGCCAGCAAACTCGCCTGACCTGAACCCCATAGAGAATCTATGGGGCATTGCCAAGAGAAAGATGAGAGACATGAGACCGAACAGTGCAGAAGAGCTGAAGGCCGCTATTGAAGAATCCTGGTCTTCCATAACACCTCAGCAGTGCCACAGGCTGATAGCTTCATGCTTAACACGCCGCATTGAGGCAGTAATTGCTGCAAAAGGGGCCCAAACCAAGTACTGAGTACATATGCATGCTTATACTTTTCAGAGGTCCGATATTGTTCTATGTACAATCCTTGTTTTTTATTGATTGCTGTAATATTATAATTTTCTGAGATTGTGGATTTGGGGTTTTCATGAGCTGTAAGCCATAATCATCACAATTATGACAAATCACGGCTTGAACTATCTTGCTTTGCATGTAATGAGTCTATCTCCTATATTAGTTTCACCTTTTAAATTGCATTACTGAAATAAATGAACTTTTGCACGATATTCTAATTTTCGAGTTTCACCTGTACATTTAAGGTGGACTTTCCAATCCCACCCCTTCCCTTCTACCAGCCTATTAGCAAAAGTGTGTTTTTTTGGATCTAGAAATTCTGTTTTCCTTATCTGAATTTAGCTACTTTTAGTGTCCATTTAATGAAATCTAGATTCCATGGCCATTATGTAGTAGATATGAAGATTATTATTTTTTTTTTTTTTCTTTTTTTGAGAATAAAGATCTTTCCATGTCACTTTTTTACCACACTGCCCTTACCCTGTTATCCATGTCAACCACTAAATCCCTTCCCCTATACATTTGATTTGTGCCCCATATCTATTTACACCTTTTATCAGCCTTCCCCGCCTACATCCTAGCATGTGAAATATATTTATTGATCTGATCCAAACAGATGCCACAGTTAGCACTTAACAGATTTTTTTTTTTTTTTTTTTTTTTTAATAGAATTTATCTGTACCATCTGCTTTCATCTCAAGTTTAACCTATCCTTCAGTTACTTATAACAACGTACATCAAGTATAATAGTCATATTTCCTGACGCTATCTCAAGAATTAAAAAATAGAGATTTTCTCTAAACTCTTAATAAAATATTGCATTCCTTGTCATCACTTGTTACTAGATGAGATTGTGACGCTATCCTGTGCTGCATCAGTGTGAAGTCTGACCTATTGATAGACCATAGTGATGGGTAAAAACTAGATCACAGCAGGGCTGTAAAGGGTAGTGCGACTTCCAACACTTGCATCACACTGCAGTCAAAAGATAGTAATTCATTTTAGGTAGAATTCTCTCTACAGGTACATTCCATAGAACTTGGCTGTGAATACCTTGTTTGAAACTGCCAGGCTCCTATTACTGGGCTGCATTACATTATTACCTAGTTTACAGTGAACCTGAATAAGTTGACTTTCAATTACCTGGAAACAGTGTGCACTATAATGCCCACCGTTTCCATCTGAGGCTTAAAACAGGTTTGTTTGCTTGTGTGTGTGTGTGTGGTTTTTTTTTTTTTTTTTTTTTTTTTTTTTCTTATTTATAGTTGACAAATGCACTGTATATTGATAAAATATGTTATATGACATGTTTGTGTTTTTTCCTGCAGAATATTGTGGCAGTTGGTGCTGGATTTTGTGATGGACTGCTATGTGGAGACAACACCAAAGCTGCAGTGATTCGTTTGGGGCTTATGGAAATGATCGCATTTGCCAAAATCTTTGTAAAGGTCCCGTGTCAACCGCCACATTCCTTGAGAGCTGCGGAGTGGCTGATCTGATCACTACTTGTTATGGAGGACGTAACAGAAAAGTTGCTGAAGCATTTGTGAAATCTGGCAAGGTATTTTTTATGAACTAAGCTTTATCTTGACTGTGAATTTACAGATGTTGACAACTTATGCTTGTAGTGCTGTGTGACCTCAGTTTGAAATCCTGCACTCTGACTCTCCCCATTCTGTACCTCATGATCTGTCAGTGAAGCCACCAGTCAGTCATTGGCCAGTTATAAGGCATGCATAGGGGCTGCACGAAATGCTGACCTAGCTGAAGCTGATATCTGGATAATGGACTGCTGCAGGTGTCTATGTTCCCAGGGAGCTCCAGTAACTTATATGGAGCAATTTTTTTTATTTAGTTTCTTTCCTGCAACCAGAGGATGCAGGAAAGAAAATCGCTTGATTCCCCATCAAGACAGTCCGTGTCGATGAGGGAATCCTTCCAGCTGAGCCATTGTATTATCCCAGCAACGGGGCGGGGGGGCTGTCCCTACCGGGAACACATTGATTACTGCTAGCGGCTATAATAGCTGCTAACAATAACAATAATAGCTGCTAGCAATAATCGCATGTAAAATCCAAAAGGCTGGTTGTACCTAAGTTGATCGATCAGTTTGGGTACATTCAGCCTGCCCAGACATGGTTCAAATCTTGGCCAGTCCCTGCTGAACTGGCTGACATTCGAACCATCTATGGCTGGCTTAAGTATATAGAGCTTACTTTAATGCAGGCATTTCAAACTCTGATGAGACCGTTGGATTAAGAGGACTGATACTTCAAGAAGGTTGAATTTTGTCTGAGGGCCACATGTATGTTTGTAAAAAAGCAAATTACAATATTTAAGCCCAGTAAAAAAGCCCAAGAGATTTCTTGAAGTATTTAGCTGCAGAATTATGTAAGGAACTTTAACTGGGATACAGCTGGGGGGGATGTATTTTACCATTCAGCCATAACTTTGTGACCACCTAATATTGGGTAGGTCCCCCTTTCCCCTTTTTGTTGCCAAAACAGCCCTGACCCATTGAAGCATGAACTCCACTAGACCTCTGAAAGTATGCTGTGGTATATGGCACCAAGCTGTCAGTAGCAGATCCTTTTAAGTCCTGTAAGCTGTGAGGTGGGGCCTCCATGGGATCTTTTTTCCTTTTTTTTTTATTTATTTTCTTTCCAGCTTATCCTACAGATACTCAATTGGATTGAGATCTGGGGAATTAGGAGGCCAAGTCAATTTCTCAAAGTTGTGTTCCTCAAACCATTCTTTCAGTGTGTCAAGAGCACATTATCCTGTTGAAAGTGGCTACAGCCTTCAGGGAATAACATTTCCATGAAGGTGTGTAATTGGACACCAAAAATATTTAGGTAGGTGGTACATGCCAAAATCCACATGAATGGCAGGACCCAAGGTTTCCCAATAGAACATTGCCCAAAGCATCACACTGCTTCCACTGGCTTGACTTCTTCCCATAGTGCATCCTGGTAGCATCTCTTCCCTAGGTAAGCAATGAGCCCACACACCCAGCCATCCACATGATCTAAAAGAAAGCATTATTTATCAGACCAGGCCACCTTCTTCCATTGCCCTGTGGTCCTGTTCTGATGCTCGCATGTGCATTATAGGTGCTTTTGGCTGTGTACACAGGTTAGCACCCTGACCAGTGTGCGGCTACACAAGCTCATGCACAGCAAAGTGTGATGCACTTTTTTTTTTTTTTCCCCTCTGTGTATTCCACACATTAACTTCGTGGACAACATTCTTACTTGCTGTCTAATCTATCTCACTGACATTCAGATGATATTGTAATGAGATAATGTTATTCACTTACACTGTCAGTAGTCCTAAAGTTATGGTTGATTAGTGTATGTAAATTTGCTCTGTATAATATATATAAATATTTTTTTTTTTTTAAGTTTTTTTTTAAACCACTGAGGTCTATAGATAAGAAGTGGGTGGCCCCGATAACCGTTTTAGTATATGAAAGCAAAAACGTTTGCGCTAGATGCGTGATACTAAATAAAAACCAATAATAAATTAAATTTAAATAGCAATAAACAATGCTGCCACTTCTAATATCAATATGACCAACAAAAGAACCCTCAAAGTGATTCAATAGCACAAAAAAAATATATAAATAAGTGATCATTAAACATAAATTAAATATATAAAGTCCGTAAAATATCTCTTCCACCAAATAAATCTTGTAATTCCCAAAAATAAATCACAATGAGAATGGGGGGCATGGCTGTTCGGTGAGTGCATACCCGAAAGGGGGAACGCCATCCTTTTGCGCGTGGTGATTTCTTTTTGGGAATTACAAGATTTATTTGGCGTAAAAGACATTTTATGGACTTTTATATATTTTTTTTCACTTGTGTTGAGTGATCACTTTATTTATTTATTCCCATATTTATATATTCTTTTTTTGCGCTACTGAATCACTTTGAGGGTTCTTTTGTTAACCATTTTTAGTATGCATGCTTTTATCTGGTTCTAAAGACAAAAAAAAAGTTTTTTTTTTTTTTAGTTTTGAATGGACTGGGGTTAGCACTTTTATCAGGGTTTTATTGCTGTCCACTAGGAAGGTTTACTTTTGTCCTTTATGACCACTGTCGCTGAGACTGAAGGTGAGGGCAGTTCCAAAATTGAGTTCTCACCAAAACTCAGGAATAAAGGGGAAATCCTCCAATGAAGACAATGGCAGGGGTTTTAATCATTTCCTTCTCTATCCGAAATAGGGTGGGGGGAACTTTGGCTTTGAATACATTTAAAATCAGACCCACATTATTATGAAAATACACTTTGTACACAATATTGTAATATATTGTTCCCATATTTCACCAGAAGCCGAATGTTGTGCGTCTGCTGATTTTAGTAAAAACCTTTAAAATGTTGACATGGGTTGTCCGATCCCCCTGCAAGCAGCTTTTAAAGGTGCACAGCAAGCTGTGAGTTTACTAACAGTTTGCATATCCCTGCGTGTGTTATTGTTACTGGGGAGATTCAGTTTGTATGCTGCCATTGCATTATCTTCCTGTGAAGACACATTTCTGTTTGGCTGTGGGGATTCCAAGCTTTCCAGCTGGAAAATCTGGGAGGGAAAGAGACTGCTTTTAGTTACATTACCACAACTTGTGTGGCAATAATTACCTTCAATTTTTGTTCTATTCCTAAAACTGTGATCTTTTATACTTTGAATTAAAAAAACGTTTTTAATTTTTAAAAACTTTAGTTTCTCAAATGATCACCTCCAATGTAGTAACAATGTTTGTTTGTTGCAGAGTATTGAACAGCTTGAGCAGGAGATGCTTAATGGACAGAAACTTCAGGGTCCTCAGACCTCAGCAGAAGTCTACCGCATCCTGCAGCAGAAAGGCATGGTAGAGAAGTGAGTGTTTTCACTTTTTATTTGTAGAATGTTCAGCAAATAGAGATGGCACGCCATATAAAGGACTGGGTGATGTTTCTTTTGTGCTTACTGATCAAAGGATGTATTTTTTTTAAAACTGTGGTCTGAATAGCACATACAAATGGTACATAGCTGGCGAGCAGGCATTGTTGCAGATAAAATGTTGCTTTCATTCTCCTAAAAGCATGTCCTAAGCAATAATAACTTTGTCTTGCCAAAGGGCTTGTTTGCATGGCAGGTCAGACCTGCCTCCTTCCCCAAAAAACCTCTTAATGGAACTGAAGAAAGACAGGTGCAGTGTATGATAGAATAGCTCAGAATTGTCATATTTGCAAAAATGTAACCTCTGTGCCCACTAATATAAAAATGTAACAAAAGCCTGGCGTGCTATACTCTTCTCTGTTGTCTTTTTTTTTTTTGTGTAAAGCTTGGTGGAAAAGCAATATGTTTTTACAAAGAAACCTTGGCAGGGCTGCTGAGAGCCTTACGCAGTTAGCCTGAAGCTGGCTCCTCGGGTATATTCTGTCTAATTGGACCAAGCTGGGATCAAATCTAGCAGAATGGTCTGGGACATTGCTATGGAAGCAATACTGGTGAAAAGTTAAATAGCTCTCCTATCTACAGGTATTTGAAAGCCATAAAATCTTGTATGCCAAACAAACCCATTCGTAGTCTAATTTCTGGAATTCATCAAAGCGCATTTACAGCTACAACAGGCAATGGGCAGATTATTATTATTATACAGTGTTTATATAGCGCCAAAGGGTTTTGCTCAGCGCTGTACATTAGAGTGGGGGGACAGTACATGAGACAATACAGTAACAATACAAATAGACCTGATCAAGCAGGATAATCTTGGAATGTATTGAATAATGAGGCTTTATTATCAAAAGTCTTCTAACCAGGGCTGAGACACCTCCCAGATCCAGCTCCACCTCATTCTTCATTAAATCATTGCATGATATCGCATATTCCCCAATATGTGTTGCTGTTTCTCTGTTTAATCTTGCACAGTGCCTAGCTGCATATCTTTAGATGCCTGTACAGAGGAACTTTTCTCAGTTTACCGAAAACGGAATGAGCATTTAAAGTTATGGGTGATTTTGTTTTTTTGGGTTTTTTTTTTAAGCTACCTGTGAATTGTATACTTACAATAAAATCACTTCATACCAATGTAAAGGTTTAAAAGAAAACTTATACCCTGCAGGTCAGTGGAAACTTCCTTTCAGCTCAGTACAAAAGTCGCCATATATCGGTAAGTCTGCCAAACTATCAAGTCACAGTATATATGTAGGTAGCCTAAGCAGTATAAATACACATTGTAGAAATGAAGCGCACACGCTAAAAGCACTTCTCATACAAAAGAAGCTCATCAGTTTTAAATGGTCCGTACCTGTACTTAATCCCAGATAAAATCCATAGAAATGTAATGTCAAAGCACAAAACATTTTGTTGCATTCTACTTGCAGAACTAGGAGAGGACCATAAGGAGTAGAAAGGCATGAGAGCTGATAAAGGCACATCAGTGCTCGAGAGAACGCAATATATGTAACTCTGAGACCTTTTGCAGTAGTAATAGCATATGGTTATCCAGTTGCTTTTGCAGTATCGATAGCTCATTACATAGCACATTTTAATCAGCCTAGTACATGAGGCGTGCTTGTATGGTATGGACCTGCTGCATTTTGGTTTGATTTTATATGCCTAGTATGGTTATAGACACTATTTGGACAACCCTGATCACAATTATGGATGACCAGGGATGTGCTCCCCTTTTCTATACAAGTCTTGTGTGTCAAGTCTTGTGCTGCGGTGCATGACTGTACTTTTAGAGGACGCAGGAAAGTATTCAGGAACGTAGGTTGCCATATTCATGAGATTGGACACTGGCAAAATAAAGCTGTTAGGACAGTCCTGCATAACCCCTTCCACTTCTAGGAAGCCTCAGTTTTACTCAGACATGTTTATGGTCCCAAAGCCCAAGGGCTCATCTTGGATCTAAAAGATTTCAACTACTTTCTTTGGGTTAAAAATTTTGTATGGAGTCTTCCAGGTCAGCCATTCCCTCACTACAGCTGGGGAACTTCTTGGCATTTGTTGGCCAAGAATGCCTATTTGCATGTTCCTGTTCCCATCCTCCTGGAACATCAACGCTTGCTGTGTTTCATGATGGGTTTGCGACCTTACCGGTTCATTGCCCTATCTTTTTGGTCTGATCATTGCACCATGGGTCTTTGCCGTGGTGCTAGCTCCTGTACTTGCCTTGCTTTTATTCACAGGGATTTCCCATAGTGGATTACTTGGACAACCTTCTGCTGAGTGAACAGTCAGCACAGACTTTTATCAGTCCATGTCCAACAGACCGTTCAAACACTGCAGAGGCTTGGGTGGATCCTGAACTTCTAGAAGTCTGCACTGGAACCGATTTTATCGTGTGGCATATCTGTGGCTCCTCCTGGATACCTTCATGTTCAGGGTTTTCTGCATAAGGAATGGATTCTGCATTTTTCTCCAGCTGGGACTGGTTCAACATTTAGCCTTGAGTACCATCAATAGTGGTTAATATTGTATACCATGTGAGAAGATTCATGTCTAGAAGAATATTGTCATTTAATATATCTCTATATCTGCGAAGGATAGAGGAAATGGGAGCGTTGGCTTTTCTTTGCTTTTGTTCATTCTTTTAGATTTCATATAGGCAAATCTGTTGGTCAGCATATTTTGAGTATTCACAAGGTTTAATTATAGAGTGTTTGTTGGCATCTCAGCAAGGTTTTTATTTATTCACGTGGTGGGTATTGATCTATTACTGGTGACTGCTCCATCTTTATGAAGGGCATATTACATAGTTTGGAGAACCCTAAGGATATTGAACACATTTTTTGTTTGTCGTCTCTTCAGAAACTGCCCTTTCACACTATCAGGGATATACCCCTATTGACTCTGACTCTCAAGGTTGCCTTTCTTCTTGCCATTACCAAAACACACAGTTGGCGACCTTGCCCTGTAAGGGACCCTTCCTTGTATGGCATAGTTAAAAGGTTGTTTTTTGAGGCCCAAACCCTCCTTTCGTCCCAAGGTGGTTCCTCCATTCCACCTCAACCAAGACATTGTCCTGCCTTCTTTGTCCAGCTCCTGGCCATCCTAAGGAGGTCTCCTTCCACTGTTTGAATGTTGTGCTTGCTTTTTAAGTCTGCCTCTCTTCTACTTTTTTTTCCTAAAAAAACAAAAAACAACCCTTTCTTTGTCATTCCTGACAAAACAGGGGACAACCTGCTTCTCACCCCCCTCAATTTCTCAGGGCATTCAACAAATTATTGTTCAAGCCTTTTGGCTTGAGGGGAAAGTCCCTCCTTTCCCCAATAAAGCACACTCCCAATTGATCATTTAGGGCTTCATGGGCTTTCCACTATCAGACATCTGTTTCTAAGATATGCTGTCTTGTCCTCTTTGTATATCTTTACGCTTGACCAGGTAGATGTTCAGGTCTCATCTGATGTCAACTTCAGTTTCAAGTTTTCTCAGACTACTCTGTGAGCTCTCTTGGGCCCCTTCTGTTATCGTGTTGCTTTTTTGCCTGTTGGTGTTTTGTTTTCTGTGTTGCTCACCCCTTCTTTATATTGCTTGGGGAAGTCTCCATGTTAGTGTATACCCTCTTGTGTTCTTTTATTGTATAATAAAGAAAATCGTGTTTTTTGTTTTGGTTTTTTTTTGTTTTGGTTTTTTGTTTTTTTTTTTTACCTGTAAAAATATTTTCTTGTAGTCAGAGGACACAGGTCACGACCCTATGTTTCTTATGATCAACTCCACAATATTGCTTTTCAAATTGCTTGCTCTTACTACTGTTTACAAGGTTGAGTCTTGGTGGGAGTGGATGGGACTTATGCAGGGCTGTCCTAACAATTCTGTTTTGCCAACGTCCAGTCTACGGAAGGTGACAGTATAACCCTACTTTCCTGAATACTTTACTTTCCTTTTTGTCCTGAAATGTACTTCAAGGAAAGGATTTTACAGGTAAGACAAAAATCTTATTTTTTAGGTCATTCACAAATCGGAGCATGGTGCTACAGTACTATTAATAAAAAGGTGGGAGACTTCAGTGAAGTTTTAATGAGGGGAAAAAAAGATTGTTCCAGTATTTTTCTTGAACATTTTGTTTTTTATCCTACAGATTTCCACTTTTCACTGCTGTTTATCAAATTTGCTATGAGAAAAAACCTGTGGAAGAAGTCATATCTTGTTTACAGAGTCACCCAGAGCATATGTAACATGGGAACAAATATCTTCAACATGACATGTCATCTTTATTGTTTTTTTTTTTTTTTTTCCCCTTGTTTTATGCTGCAGAATTCTGGAGAAAATGCTCCACTAACGCACAACAGCATGAATGTTTAATGTTGATATCATTATGATTGCTTTGGGTCTGGTTGCAGACTGGTACTATCACAGACACAAAAATCTTTAAATGCCACTTTTTTTTTATATTGACCAATCATGGCATCTGTAAGAGAGAATGTTTTGTAGGTGAATGTTCAAGCATGACTTAAATCACTGATTGTGAGTCCAGCAAATGCTGTAAGTATTGTTCCTATGGGCAGCTGACACCTTTTTATTAAGGGAAGTGACCTGTGCTGAAAACCTAGTTCAGTGCAGAATTTTATTCTCCTAGAGATCGTGGCTTGAAGTATACAATTTTGTCTGAAAGAAAATTCATATTTATAATCCATTTTTAGTCTGTATTTCCAGTTTCTCCAACAAAATGCCATTCGCTACATGCTGCATTCATTTTAAGGTTGGCTCTCCTATGTTCCAAGGTACCAACTAGGCACTGTTACACAGTGCAACTATAATATTTGGTTATTATATCAGCTTGGTGTTATCAACTTTTATTACTACAATGCAAAATGATTTCATATTTTTGATAGCCTTTTTTTTTTTTTTTTTTTTTTTTTACCACACTTGTACAATTACGCAAATCCTTTATACTACAAGGGCAAATGATGTGGGAAGTCGTATTTTGTGTGCATCTTTTAACCATTTATCCTCTATTGTATGTAATGATTTTAGCATTGATGCATATTTTACAAAGTGATTACTATTCTGTGCTTTACAAATGGAGAATCCTAGTACTGTGCCATTCCAGAACGTATTAATCCACACATGTTCAATACAGTTTAAAAAAAGAAATGTACCATCACATTATTAAACCATTCAGTACCAATTTGAGGAGTGTGAAAATTCATTTTTTGTTTGATTTTTTTTTTTTTTTTTTTTTTTTTTTTGCATCTTGCATGTTTCTTATGCTGACCATACACTAGTCGAAAAATAATTCGAACTCTGTCGTGAGAGCATACGATATCGTCAACATGTAATGACCAAATTTTGAATGCTAAAATTGTTTAATGAACATAAATTGATTCCTTTTTTTGTTTTTGTCACATATGTGTAGTATGAACAGTTTGATTTTTTGTTTTTTGTTTTTTTTAAGTGGGCAAGAAACACATAAGGTGTTACTAAACCCAGAACTCTGCATTTACTATAGCTGGTCTCCCACAATACACAGAACATGGAAGTACAATTATTTTAGTACATATAAACTGCTAAATACCTTTTTTCTCATCAGAAGTTAGAAGTCACAAGACTGCTCTATCGGTGTCCAGGCGAGCACTGATTAAAGCTTGTAGGAGGAGTTTTCATTTTGTTTTAGGAGGATGCAGAACCCCTGATCACTGTGTGGACAGTGCTGTGCTGATCACATGCACTCTCCCAAGAATCGCAAAAAAAAAAAAACCTCTAGCAATACACACCAAACTGAGCATGTGCAGAGTGTCTCCACATGTGTCTTATCAGGAGATAGGGGGACACTGGAAGAAGGAGAGGATCATAGAAGTCAGGATTAAACAGCATTTTTCCACAATGCAGAGGATTATCCCCTTACATTACACACTGAGTATATAAGCATGCTTTACTACATATACAGACTGATTTTACTGTTGTGGGTTTTGTAACACTTTTTAAATTGACAGGATTTATCTGTGTACCACATGAGCACATAACCAGTCTGTGGGAGCCAGAATTATTGTAGGGGATCAAATACTTATTTTACTCACTGAACTTCAACTCAATTTGTAACATTTGTATCGTGTTTTTTTTCTGGATTTTTGGTTGATATTCTGTCTCTATCATTTACAACACACCTGTGATAAAAATTACAGCCCATTTCTTTGTAAGTGGGCAAAATTCAAATTCAGACATTGGGTTTTTAAGAATCACTGGCATTTTCTTGTTTAGGAAAAAAAATATATTTTCCTATTCAGTAAATACAGTGCCTTTAAAAAGTATTCATACTCCTTTGAAATGTTCCATATTTTGTCATGTTACAACCAAAAATATAAATTTATATTATTGAGATTTTATGTGCTAGACCAACACAATGGCACATAAATGTGAAGTGGAAGGAAAATGATAAATGGTTTTCAAATTTTTATTTACAAATATTTGGAAAGCAAGGTGTGCATTTGTATTCAGTCCTCTTTACTTGGATACTGTAACTAAAATCTAGTGGAACCAATTGCCTTCAGAAGTCACCTAATTGGTAGTTCACCTGTGTGTAATTTTAATCTCAGTATAAATACAGCTGTTCTGTGAAGCCATCAGAGGTTTGTTAAAGAACATTAGTGAACAAACAGTATCATGAAGGCCAAGGAACACACCAGACAGGCCAGGGATAAAGTTGTGGAGAGGTTTAAAGCAGGGTTAGGTTATTTAAAAAAAAAAAAAAGTCCCAAGCTTTGAACATCTCACACAGCACTGTTCAAACCATCATCCAAAAATGGAAAGAGTATGGCACAACGGCAAACCTACCAAGAAATGGCCATCCACCTAAACTGGCAGGCCGGCAAGGAGAGCATTAATCAGAAAAGCAGCCAAGAGGCCCATGGTAACTCTGGAGGAGCTGCAGAGATCCACAGCTCAGGTTGGAGAATCTGTCCACAGGACAACTATTAGTCGTGCACTCCACAAATCTGGCCTTTGTGGAAGAGTGGCAAGAAGAAAGCCATTTTTGAAAGCCGTTAAAAGTCCAGTTTTGCAGTTTGTGAGAAGCCATGTGGCGGACACAGAAAACGTGGAAGAAGGTAGTCTGGTCAGATGAGACCAACATTGAACTTTTTGACCTAAAAGCAAAACCTCATGTGTGGTGGAAAAGTAACACTGCGCATCACTCTGAACACACCATCCCCATCACGAAACGTGGTGGCAGCATCATGTTGTGGGAATGCTTTTCTTCAGCAGGGACAGGGGAGCTGGTCAAAGTTGATGGGAAGATGGTTGGAGCCAAATACAGAGCCATCATTGAAGAAAAACTGTTAGTCTCCAAAAGACTTGAGACTGGGGTAGAAGTTCACCTTGCAGCAGGACAATGAACCAAAACATACAGCCAGAGCTACAATGGAATGGTTTAGATCAAAGCATATTCATGGGTTTAGAGTGGCCCAAAGTCCAGACCTAAACTCAATTGATAATCTGTGGCAAGACTTGAAATATTGCTTGTTCACAGACGCTCTCCATCCAATCTGACGAAGAATGAGCAAAAATTCTCACTTTCTAGATGTGCAAAGCTGGTAGAGTCATCCCCAAAAAGACTTGCAGCTGTAATTGCAGCGAAAGGTGGTACTTCAAAGCATTGACTCAGGGGGGCTGAAAACAAATGCACACCACACTTTTCAGATATTTGTAATAAGTTTGAAAACCATTTTATCACTTTTCTTCCACTTCACAATTGTGTACCACTTTGTGTTGGTCTATCGCATAAAATCCCAATAAAATACATTTACTGTTTTGGTTGTAACATGACAAAATGTGGAAAATTTCATGGGGTATGAATACTTTTTTCAAGGCACTGTATCCACTGAATAGGCAAGAAGGAACGTTTTGATTCAAACTCCTTGACACTACCAACAGAAATGTAATGTGTGCAGAAAAAAAATGGCCAATCCCATATACCTTTTCACATATCTCTGATTTTAAGTTGTCCTGAAACCTTTGCATATTTTCCTATATTGTTGGCATTTTTTAAAGGACCTGTTAACTTAAATTACAAGTTGACCTCAGAAAATACCTAAAATTTGACAGTTAGTGTACAATTACAAATGACAAAAATGTAATATACTGCACACAAATGTTCTATATCTTTACTAGACTCCAATCCCATAGGCGCATATACCTGCAGGTATGTACATGTGGTCAAGTCTATGATTTTATGACCTGGCCAAACCGCGGTTTTTCGATCCCTTGGTCCTACCTCCCTATGTTGGCCCCTGGGAACTCCCCCTGAGTTAGAATATGAGTAGTTTCACAAAACATTCTATGCCAATACTACCACTTAAATAAAAGCTATTCCTGCGCCAATACAAATCAAGTGAATCACCCTTCTAAATTGCTGCTGTGCAAAAAATGTGAATACACAAACAATGAAATATATAAATAAACAGTGCAAAATAGACCTTAAATCAAGTATTAATAAATCACAAAATATAAATGTCCCTTATCAATTAGTGCATATCTGTATCAAAAAAATTTTTTTTTCAAGAAAAAGAACACCATAAAGTCCCTTGTGGTGAGAAATACGAACTCCAAATAATTTTTCTAGCCTTCCACCTTTCACCGGTGCACACCAAAATCAAATGCACTCACCAGATTTTGGTGAATGAAAAGCCTTTAAGGATTTTATGGGGAATCCTATACCCTCTTTTCATCAGCTCAATGATAGCCTCTCCAAGATAAGATCCTCTTTCAGGTCCTCACCGTGGCTCCCTAGTTTGCTCCTCCATATCATCAAAGAGAAAAACTTGCATAGTGTAATATTGCCAGATCAATCTTATACCATAATGAACAGAATCCAGGCCACTCACATTTATTAAGCCCATGACAGCCTGTAGCAAGATGGAGCAGAGGAACAGCATAGAACCAGCCTAAATCCTGCAAAATGGCCGCTGGAACGCACCGCTTGGCGTGCGTTCCACTCACCGGAAGTGACGTCGGATGTAAGGCGAATGCACCGGAAATGCGTCAACGCGTTTCGCCCCTCCCATCGGGAGGGGTGGGCCATTTTTGAGCTATTTAGGATGTGTAAGACAGAAAATGGACGCCTTGAGAACACCCGATGGGAGGGGCGAAACGTGTTGACGCATTTCCCGTTCATTCGCCTTACGTCTGACGTCACTTCCGGTGAGTGGAACGCACGCCGAGCGGTGCGTTCCAGCGGCCA